CCGTTGGAATAAAGAGTGATTGAGAAGAACAGTGTGGGACCACTGTGCCTGTGAGAGAGGAGGGAGAGCACAGCCTGGTGTTACGGGTGTGAGGATGAATAGGCGGTGAACTGCATCCCTTGAAACTCGGTAGCAGATCTCAGAGTAGCGTGTCTGCGGCTGCTCCTTCCCAGCTTTTTCCCTTCTCTCAGGCTACTGAGAGATGGGAGTCTAGGACCACAGACTTCAAGGCCGAGGTGGTGACAGCCCATGATAACACAGATTTCTTCATGTGGTGTTTTTGATTGTCTCACACAGTCCTGCCTGTTAGCTCTTAGAGGCACGGGATGAGAATAGGAAGGAATCTTAGTGATAAGCCCAGCTAGCCCCCTCATTTTACAGCTGAAGAGACCTAGAGAGAGGTTAAAGAGCAGAGCCAAGGTCGTACAGCTAGTTAGGGTCAGGACCACATTCCAAGTCCTTAAGTCCTAGTCCGGTGTGATTCCATAACCTTGGGCTCTAGTGGGCAGAATTACCATAAGAGGTCCAGGACCTTGAGCTTTTTCCTTCACATGTGTTGGTGTACACAACACTTACTCCTGCATTAGAACATGCAGTATTCTATTTAACACACGTATAGTAACTAAGCTCATTACTATGTGTTCCATACAGATGACTTTGGGGTAGAGTCCCATCTCTCTGGAATCAGAAATATAATTGTCAGTGTTTTAAAAGGCTTATGTTTTTAATTACAATTTAAGTGCTGTCTGGTTAAATCTATAAGCTCCTGTTTGGGGAATGTGTGTTAAAAGTGCTGTGGAGGAGAACCCTGGCCAGTTGTCATTGATGTGGAGGAGATTTGCTGGGAGTGTCGAGGACTTGCGTTGTTTTTTTTTTCAATTCAATGATATTTTTAATAAAAAAAATAAGACAAATTTGCTTTTCTAATTTCCTATAAGAAATACTATCAAAGGTATCACTGTTATTGTCTCTTGCCACTGAGGCATTAAGCAGTCAAACAAGGGGCACACACACTCCTGTTCAGCATCTCAGCATGTGGAAAATCGTCGCGTTTCGTCCCTCTAAAACAGAAGTTTACAGCCAGTATGTCTGTGCAAGGGTTGCAATGAACAAAAAGACATCTGTTGGAGACGAATGCAGTAAGGAAAGGGTTCAAGAGCCACTGTATTGTATTTTGTGTTGTGAGGAATGTTCACATAAATTTCCTTGCCAGGTAGTTCTCAAAAAGTTCTAAAGTCTCTATGGGTGAATATCAATTTTGTGTGACTTAGTTTGGGGAGCCCTATCCTTCTGCATTCCATATGCTGAAAAATCACACTTGCATGAAGACTACATCAGAGAAATAGTCCACTTGGGGATCCTTGGAATAGCATCCACCAATTTCTTTGCCAACCAGTCTTTCCTTATCACTTGAACTTGCCTGTGTCACTTTGATCATTTCATATGTATATACTCTCAATTAGATTACTAGAGGCATTAATTCGTTCTTTTTTTTTCTTAGCTTTTTGAGATTTTATTTTTTTAGCTCATAGTTTGTTTGTTCTTTTTTTTTGCGATAACATTGGTTTATAACATTGTATAAGTGGGTACATCATTATACTTCTATTTCGGCATAGATTACATCGTGTTCACCACCCAAAGACTAATTGCAATCCATCACCACACACATGTGCCTAATCATCCCTTTCGCCCTCTTCCCTCCCCCCTTCCCCTCTGGTAACCACCAATCCAATCTCTGTCTCTCTGTGTCTATTTGTTGTTGTTTTTATCTTCTACTTATGAGTGAGGTCATATGATATTTGACCTTCTCCCTCTGACTTATTTCACTTCCTATAATACTCTCAATGTCCATCCATGTTGTCACAAATGGCTGGATTTCCTCGTTTCTTATGGCTGAGTAGTATTCCATTGTGTATATATACCACATCTTCTTCATCCATTCATCCCTTGATGGGCACTTAGGTTGCTTCCAAGTCTCGCTATTGTGAATAATGCTGCAATGAACACAGGGATGCATGTATCTTTACGTATTGGTGTTTTCATGTTCTTTGGATAAATACTCAGCAGGGGAATAGCTGGATCGTATGGTAGTTCTCTTCTTAATTTTTTGAGGAATCTCCATACTGTTTTCCATAGTGGCTGCACCAGTTTGCACTCCCACCAGCAGTCTATGAGAGTTCCCTTCTCTCCACATCCTCTCCAACACTTGTTTCCTGTGTTAGGACTTGCATTTTTATGCTTCTTCCTCCACTTATAAATAAGCCAGTTTATTGAAAGGTGACTGTGAATCTGTTGCAGAATATTCTTAGATTTGGAAATATCTCATTTGGGGTTGAGGCAGAGACTTCTAGTGGCTGATGAGATGCCCACTATTATAATGACCACCCTCATCTCCTCCTTGAGTGTCCCCAGGGGCAAACTCCCAGTCATCCCTCCTTCCGTGACACATGCTACTTTTGCCATCCCTTCTTCCTGGAATCTTATTTCTGTTCAACTGTAACTCCTTTCTTCTACGACTGGAGGAGATCACAAGAGGACTTGGGCTGGACTGACGATAGAATGAGGGGATGTGGGATGTTTGCTCAGAGGTAAGAGGTATGGGTAGAAAATAACCATTGATTGGGAATGAGAGATTCCAGAGATGTCAAAGGGATTCTACCCCAAACAGGTTCTTTGTTCAAATAAGTTTGGGAATCAAAGGGTTAAACAAAATTGCTGCAGGACTTTTCAGGACCTTTAACATGACAATTCTCATGTGCAGTGTGAATCTTCAGGAGGAAGGTATGGCAGGCTGCATTTTTCTCAAGCATATTTAACCACTGATACACACTCCCCCCACCCAGGGGAGCTTTTCTAAGTATTACCCAGAACCAGAGTTTAAGAACACAATTTGGAAAAAACTACTCAGTGCGGATACTTAAACCTTATAGGTGAATTGTAGCCTTTCAAAGTCCTATTTCTGGCAGATTAGTTTTTTGAATCCAAAGCTTACTTAGAGGTGGGGGGAAGGGAAAGAAAGAAGAGAGAAAGGGCTTAAGTGTATATAGAGGGAAGGAGTGTGGTGGAGGAAGAGGGCTGAAGACAGTGAAGGTACTTAGAAAGGTAATCGAGAGACCAGAAAACTGTTCTCTTAGAAGATCTTTATTGATGGGAAGGTCGATAGTACTGTGGGAGAACTGAGAGCACAATGGTGTATGAACTCTGATGATGATTACTGCTGTAATGGGATATGTAAACGTGAAGGGGTGGGCATCTTGTAAAGTGGAACTACTGCATTTTGCTGAGTTTTTTCAAATACTAGGCACTCTGGATGTTATTGAGATAGATCTATTTTCAAATTACTTTAACTTTATGTTGACATAAGAATGATACACAAATGAAATATGCAGAAAATAATTTTATAAAAGGAAAAAAGGATAATGTTGGAGAATAAGAATTTTTACTGTAAGTGATAGAAATGATAAACAAAGGAGATGAGGTCTAGCTCTGTTTTAGATGTGAAAGTAGACAGTGTATTTCAGGATGGGTCTGGGCATGGCTTGGTTAATGTCAACATGTCTGAGTAGACTGGGAGAAACTAGAACTTAGATTTGGAAGCTGCTTCTTGCAGTAAGGTAGTCACTCCAAAGGCAGATTGAGCTGCCTGTTGTAGAAACCAGTGGGCCTGGCACCAGATACCCTATGATTGTGTCCTGTACATAAAACCATGTGTGTAGTTGTCTATAGGGCATCATGTAGAATTCATGAATGAGATAGAGTCCCTGGAAGAGGATCTGACAAAAGGAAGGCAGGGCTATTCTTCTGGAGGGCCTGCTATACTCAGTAGACTATTGATATAGGGAGGGCTCAGGTAGGATGATATGAAGCAAGTCCTGGGAACTGGAATCAGATCTGGGACAGAAGGGCAAGGTCATCCTGGAAACACAGCTGAGGGGGACTCTGCACCCCAGAGGGTTGGTCCAGAGCTGTTGACATTCCCTATTTTTGGTCCTATTGATGAGGATGGGCCTAATCCTGACAATTTTCAGAGATGAAGAAGGAAACTCAAGTGGTTCCAGCCATGGGGAGAGGAGGGAAGCAGGGATTGGGAAGCTAGACAGATAGAACTGGAGCACTCAGAGGTCTTTTGCAAGGTTAGAATGATACCAGTAGGTCTTTCGTCTGAGCCCAGGTTGAATGCAATGAACTCTTCTCGGAAATGCCTCCTTGATGTTCTCAGGGAAATCAGAATGTCACAGGTATATGCCCACCTGTGGCATATACCTGTGACATTCTAATAGTTGTAGTGGTTTAGTTGGACTTATCGTCTGTCTCAGTCGTTAGCTCCTTGAGAGTAGGGGTCATGAATCAGAAATAGCATACACAACTGTTGTTCACTAAACTTCTACAATATGCCAAATGCTTAGAACAAAAAAATAAAACTAAGAGGTAGGTGTTATCATCTCTACTTTACAGACAACAAAACTGAGGTTCTAGAAGGTCAGATAGCTGTTCAAGTCCTCAGAGCTGGTATGTGGAGGGGCAAGGAGTCAGACCCAGATTTCCCTGGCTCCAAATCCCATGTGCTTTCACCTAGACCAATGGCTCTCAACCTGGGAAGTTTTAAAAGAAACTGAGGCACGTACCCCATCCTCCAATATTTGGATTCATTTAATCTGGGCTAGAATTTGGATATCTGTATTTTGTAACTCCCCTAGGCGATTTCGATGTGCAGCCAGGGCTGAGAATCCTGGCCCTCTATCATACTGTCTTGTCTGTATTGTTATCCTGGCATCTAGTACAGCACTCGCCCATGATGGGGGTTAAAGACGTGTTTATTGATTAGTTTAGAGGGTGTTTGTGGCCAGAGGGAAGAGCAGGGACTGAATGCCACTAGAAGTTATAAAGTGTCCATTTAGAGGCTGAAATCGAACAGTTGATGTTTCAGAAGACATAATTAAGGATCAGAGGGCTGCTACTCATTACATGCTTAGAGACATTTTCCCAACCTTCTATTGCAGGTGGTGTTGTCCTCAACCCGTCCTACTATGGCATGTCTGGCCATACCAACATCATGATCCACGAGGTGGGGCATGTCCTGGGACTCTACCATGTCTTCAAAGGGGTCAGTGAAAGAGAATCCTGCGATGACCCCTGCAGGGAGACAGTGCCATCCATGGATACGGGAGACCTCTGTGCTGACACTGCCCCAACTCCCAAGAGTAAGCTGTGCCAGGACCCAGAGCCTACCAATGATACCTGTGGCTTCACCCACTTCCCAGGGGCTCCATTCAGTAACTACATGAGCTATACAGGTATCACAACACTCTTGACGTGTTTGCTTTCTGTTAAGGTTATATGGGGGCCTTTGAGTGCTGGGCGGGTGGAGGTGTGGGAGGTGGGGAGTGTTATCAAGCAGTCATTCGTGGCAGAGAGTTGAAGTGTATTTACAATGACATATTTTTTTTTCCTGTCTTTGAAGGACTTGAAAAAATATTGAGATATTAAGGGGTCTCGTTGACTGGATTCTCTTCCACTAGAGGTTGAACACACTTCTATTTTGGATAGTTAAAAGGGAGAGAAAGCCCAAACTCTCTTGAGGTCCCTGTGACCTCTAGAACTTGGTTATTCTTGTTCTTGCCCACATTCTTACGCATGTACTCTGAAGAAGAGTCCAGTAGTGATGAGGAAAGAGGTTTCTGGGTCAAGGTGGCTCTTTGTGCTATTTTTGAAGTTGACCAAGATGATGGCTCTGGTTACTTTTAACTCAGGATTCCTTTTTATTTTATGTTATTTTTTTCAAGTATCGGATTCTCTTCTTCCAGCACTAGCCAAAGGCTGATTCTTAGCTTGCCTACCAAAAAAAAAAGGTGCCATCTCATTTAAAAAATGGTACTTTCCTGGCCCTGGGAACAACTATATTGTCTGGTCTTGTTGCCTGGACTGTGCTTCTTCCTTGTCCTCTCGCATCTTCCTCGATTCTGGCAAAAAGTAATACTAGTCTAGTCTCCTGGTAATGGACTCAAATTTATCCCTAAAATGAAGGATTTATTTGATTTTGATGACCTCCTGCAGTGGTGAAGGAAGGAGGTAAATTTTCTGTAAGGTCAAGGGGCTTGTTTGGTGATAAGTTCTAGAACTAGCCAAAAAAAAAAAAAAGGATAAACCGCAAGACCCTGGTCATGCCTTTGAAGAGAAGAAAGAGTGGTGAGCTGTGACATATGTCTGTGACATGTGAATATTTTTCTGTCCAAGTCTCATTTTGATGTATAATTCAGGTACGTTGAATTCATAAGGACCAGCTTCCAGGCCTCCCCCAACATGGACACACTGGCCGTTGCCAGGGCAGAGAAACCAGACAGTGGGGTGCAGAGGGCAGAGCTGTTTAGGCACCACCTTTGATGTGGGCAGAGGAAACATCTAAGAAGCAGGGGCAAGTGTTTGACTGGTATGCTTTCATTGAAAAAGGCCCTGAAACTAAGATAACTCCCTTTCTAACCGTATGAAAAAGGTATCTAATAGGGAGATTTTGCCAGCTCCAAAAGTAAGGTGGGGACCACCATTCCCAGTCCTGCTGGCTCCTTGACATTTTGGCTCTCTCTCCCCTTGAGCATCTCCACTGAATACTCGCTAATCTTGGCCAACGTCACCAGGCATAAAGCAGGTGTCTGCAACTCCACAAATGTTCACAAATAAAAAGGCCATATGCTGAAACACTGCCATCTTGTGGCTTCCTGAGTAAGAAGCCATCAGCTCAGAGCAACCCTGTACCCCAGGACATGAGTCTCACCCTGGCCCAGCCCAACATCAAGGTAACGGCCCTGCTTTGGAGAGAAGCAAGTTCTTTTCTCTGCCTTCTCTTTCCCACTTCCAGCTTAGATAATTTCTGGAACAGAATATGTTTATTCATTCGACAAGTGTTTATGGAGCCTAATGAGTGTAAGATGTTGTGTTAGGTGCTGGTGACTCCGGTGTGAACAAGGCAGAATTTATTCCTGCCCTGGTGGACTTGGCAGGTTAAAACCTCCATCTCTCCTGTTCTCTTTTTTGTCTCCACAGATGATGACTGCACTGACAACTTCACCCCTAACCAAGTGGCCCGAATGCATTGCTATTTGGACCTTGTATATCAGCAGTGGAGTCAAAGCAGAAAGCCCACCCCCATTCCCATCCCACCCATGGTCATCGGGCAGACCCACAAGTCCCTCACTATCCACTGGCTGCCTCCAATTAGTGGAGTTGTGTATGACAGGTGAGAGAGGCATTTGCCGTGGGTGAGCTGGGATATTTTCTCTGTGTCATTTCTTATGCACAAGGGGAAGAACGTGAAGTTAGGGGAACCCCAATTTGGAACTACAAACATGTGCACCACTGCTCAGCGCTGCCTCCTCCATCCCACTCAGTTCTCATCTCCTTAGCAGAGCTCATGGGGCTTTCGTGTGAGCCAGTGGCTCATCATATATGCTCACTCCTTGGCGAGGGGCCTATCGGATGTTTCCTTCAGAATGTCACATCTGGCGGGCTTCCAGGAGCTGCAAATGTGAGAAAGCCTTCTCTGCCACCTGCTGTTACCTGTGCCTACCCCACTTATGGCTGCTGTCTTGTAGGATTGTCATTATCTGTTCATTTTCCCATCTGCCCCACTCAACTGGCAACTCCTTGGGGGCAGGACTGTTTTTTTGTATCTTTGTCTCTTGGCCTGCCACAATAGACGCCTAAGACATGTTTATTGAAGAGCATCATTATACCGAAAATTAGTTTTTAATTTTTTATAACTTTGCATATTGGTGTAAATGAATGCCAGGGACGTTTTTGTAAAAGAGAGAAGGTAGAAAAAGAATGACATCTGACAGTTGGTGGGAGGATGGAGGAATGTGGTGACCTGTGCAAGCTCTCTGCTTTCACAGCCTGCCGCTGCATTCTAAATGACAAGCATAGCTGTTGTCAATTTGGTCCTTCTTGAAGGCTTCCTTGTGTGAAGCCTTGTGCTAGCTATTTTACCTGCAATTGCTTTGTTGGGCCTTGCATTAAGCATAATTCCTGCTATGTAAGTGAGACATCCAAGCTTAGAGAAGCACATGGTGGCTAGCCCCAGACCCCACAAGTAAATAGAGGTGAATTGGGGGCATCCACTGGAATTGCAGAAATGGGGAACAGAGAATAGATTATTTCTTTGAATTTAGAGCTTTCCCATTTAGCGGGTAGCTAGCCCTTCCTCTGTGTGTCACAATTCCCCTCTGGGTGTCAGGCCCCAGCTGAGGAGCTGGATGTCCCTGGAGCATGTTTCCATGTACTCCATCTTTGCTGAAAGCCTGGGAGAGAGACAGGGATGGGAGAAAGTGGGAGAACCATTTTCCAAAGTGCCGTTCCCAGCATTCTGGGATCTTGGTACCTGTTCTTGATACCCTGGTGCATGCTCAATGCATGACATCACTTGGAACCCACTATCCTGTAAAGCAGTTTTGATTGTCATCAGCACCCAGGCTCTCACAGGCTCTGTTTGTGAGTCAGCACATATCTATGCGATGTGTGTAAGAATCCTCTTCCTGCAAGTGTGACCTTGTGCAGCTTCGGTCGGACTGGCTGAACAGTGAGTCCTCTGTGGGCATGTGCAAACAGGAGTTTTACATCAGTTTATGTAACACATGTAAACAATTTAATCTTTCACTTCTCTGTCTGGTACAAACGTTACGATAAAGCAGACATCAGTACTGGCTTACTGTGAGTCTGTTGGCAGAAAAGGCTGCAGTTTGCTTCCTTTTCTCAGCTAGGTGGGTCACAGCGTTGAGGCCTCCCAACACGTGTGTCGGGGAGACTCACGTCACATGCCCAGCGATTTATGTCACTCTTGGAGTTATGTTTACTCCTCCCCAGTAGGTATTTGGAATCCTTATGTCAGAGAGGAGCCCAACCACGCACTCAGCCGCGACCCCGGAAGGGCCAAGTGCATCAAGGAAATGTGGTTTGGAGTTGTGTTCACGCTAGAAGTGAGCGCTGACTGGAGTCAGAGGTTGGAGCTTAACTACACCTTTTCATTGCCAAAGTGCTGGACACTTGATGGTGTTTGGGAACTTGCTCAAAGGGATTAAGGAACTTGTTGTGACCTTCGGCAATTTACTTAATCTCTCTGAGCCTGAGTGTCCTCATTTGTAAACATAGGGTTCTTACAGGGATTAGAAATAATGTATGAAAAGCACCTAGTGGCACAATGCCAGGTGCCAATGTGCTTAATAAATGGGAGCTGGTGGCATAGTTATTACCCTCATTTAACAATACTATTTTTCTAGTATATTACGAAATACTGCTTTTCTCTGCCTCCCTGTTGAGAAACCTTGATTTGATGCCTCCATTTTCAGATGTGTCATTTACAATTGGGCTTCTAAAAGAATTCTGAGTATCAGAGACAGGCCTCATGAAGTGATTTCCCATTGTTATTTAGCTGCTGTTGTCCATATCTCTTCCAGTTACTCCAGATCTAGTGCTTGAAGAGCTCTTCATAGACTGTGTTGATAGTCTCATGGAAGCCCATGAAACCAGCTCTCACAGAGGGACTGCTGAGGCCAGTCCCTGTGCTAACTGATGGGGACAGGAAGAATAGGGCTTGGTCTGGACTTGCTCACAGGCAAAGGAGAAGGAATTCCCAACACCACAGAGCAGTGCCCTAAGACAGGAGCCAGAAGGTGCAGAGGGTGCCCAGAGGAGGGAGTGATGGCTACTCAGAGGAGTCAGGCTAAGTGCCACCACAAAGGTTACATTTGAATGGGCCTTGAAGGTTGGGTAGGAGTTTGCTAAACAAAGAAGCTTGGAAAGGCTATTTGACAGTAGAGAGAACAACATGCTATTTGACAGTAGAGAGAACAACATGTTTCACGGAACTGTGCAAAGGGTATGATGTATTCGTGGAGTGGTGATTAGTTCATTGTGATGGGAACATAAAATTCATGAAGGAACTGAAGTAGGTAAGGCTGGAGCTAGCTTGTGAAGGACCTTGAATCACGGTAGGGAATTCGAATGTATCCCTATAGGCAATGGAGAGCCAAGGAGCATTATGTTTCCTATGACTTTTATTTTATGTATGTGATTAAAAGTAAGGAGTTTAAAATATAAGACCACATATAGCTAATAAGTTTACTCTGAAAATTGTTGTCTGTTTTAATTGGGGGAATGCAAGGGGTCTTTGGATGACTTATTGAGAGTCAGTGTAGAAAGGAGTTTTATGTTGCACGAGTCAGATTGTAATTACTTTGTGTTGAATGTTCCTCGGATAGAGTCTGCCCACTTTCATCTCCACAGGGCTCCTTTGTGACTTAGTTAAATTCTGCTGCTTCATAACTTTGAGATTCTCTTGTCACTATGAATTTTGCAAAGATGAGGTCTACACAAGAAGGAAATGAATTGAGAAATAGTTTGTATTCCCAGCTACCCCCTGGGGCCTCACTCACCATCGCCACTACCGCACCCCCAAAGGACTTCTGAATTTCCTTATCCAGGTCATCTGATCGCTTCTCCCCATCTTCTTCCCTTCCTCTTCCCAGGGCCCCAGGCAGCGTGTGTGGGGCCTGCACTGAAGATGGGACCTTCCGTCAGTACGTGCATACAGCTTCCTCCCGGCGCGTGTGTGACTCCTCAGGTTACTGGACTCCAGAGGAGGCTGTGGGTAAAGAACCATGGCTTTTTCATTTATACCTCAGTGGCCACTGAGAATGGGGGTGGAGGTAAAGGATGGAGGTAAAGGATGGAGGTAAAGGATGGAGCAGTGGCATGGTGAGAAAAAGGTAGCTCTGTGTGTGTGTGTGTGTCTGTGTGTTTTGCTGGATATCTCCAGGGGCCTGGGAAAGACTCTGCCTGGTACCTTTGAGTGTCAGATGTCCCACGTGTGATTAATGTGGTGAAGCAGAGGTCAGCACAGAGGGCGGAAGAATAGAGAAGTCAGCTGAGCTGAGGGGGGCACTTGAGGATGAGATAGCTCAGGTGTGTAGTGTTACACGTGCCTACCAGCCTGGGGAGCAGCCTTGCCACATGGCAGTGTAAGGTGATCTCTTACTCCTCTCTATCAGGAGAGTAATAGAGAACACTTTGCAGGAACACTCTACACTGGCTGAGGCTGTCTGGGTGGGAGTGAGATGGCCTAGGTGTTCCAAACTGATCGTTCTCATCTATGCTATTTTATAAGTCTGTTAATCACTGGTACTGGTTGTGCTTTGGATATGATCTTAGCTAGGCTCTAGGAGGGGGAAAATGTTTTTAGTTGTCCCTTTTCCTGTCCCTCTTCCAAATTCTCAGTTACATATTCACTCACCTATCTATATTAGGACTTCTAAGACAAATTAGAGCATGAATGTTATCCCAATTCAAATCTAGAAAAGACTTTTAGCACCTTCTGATGAATGGCTTGACTTCTACCATCATCACGATCTTCAGTGTTTACCCAATCATTATTTTTTTCTTTTCCTTATATTTATTAAGATCCTAAAAACTACTCAGTAAGGTATGTTGGACCTGGTTTTATTTGAGTTAGTTTGCAGCCTTGACTGACAAGAAAGAAGGGAGAACGTTTGTCTAAGAGTCTACAGTGTCTGCAAGGTGTCCCCTTGGGCAACCAGTTACACAAATGACAGGAACCTCAAGGAGAAATCCAGAGGAAGACAATTTACTTGATAAATCATATAGGGTTTTTTTCAAATGAGAGATTTCAGGGAAGAATGGAAAGTGACTAGAAAATTTACATTGGCACTGTGTTGGAGATTGGCATTTCATAAAAGGCCATTTCTGTGGCTAACAGTTTGTCCTGTGCTAGTCTTTGAATGCCCATTTGACTCCCTGGCCCTGTACTGTTTTCTTTTTAATTCTTGGAAAAATTTAAAGTTATTTGGTAGAGGTGAAAGGAATTAGAAGTTCTGAGTTCTAATTCTTGTACTGTGTCTTGAGACAAATCAGCTCAACTTTTAGAGCCTCTACTTCATGTTTTAAGATGAGAACATCATAAAACAATTCTGACAGAAAGTGCTGCAGTTGGCTTGGCTTCCAAGGGCCTTTACTCTGCTAGTATTTTGGGGTGACTGTTGGAAAATATTGCTAAGAAATACTGGTCTTCCTTTGCTTTGAAAAGGTGGAGAACCAAGTCATATTTAAAATATACACGGTGAAAGTGATTGACTCCCCAGCAGAGCATGCACAAACACATATATTTACAGATATGATCAAAAGGTATTTAATGACACTTAATGAACACTTATTGACCACCAACTACTTTCTGAATGCTATAGGGAATGGAAAATTGAACCAGACCTGTTCCCTGCTTAAGTATCATCTTCTTGGAGAGAACTTCTCTGGCTCCATAATCTAAAATAGCCCCCAGCCCCACCCCATCATTCTCTAGTCTCTTACCCTCCTTCAATTTTTTCAAAGATGCCATTACCACTTGGAATTATACTTCTTTATCTATTTATTTTTGCACCTGCCACCCTATTGGAAGATATATGAAAGCAAGACCTTTATCTCTCTTGTTCGCTATTCTATCTCTAATACCTAGATTAGTGCTAGGTTTAAAAGAGGTACGCAGTCAATTTTTGTTGAGTGAATGAATGAGTGAATGTATCCAAAATATTGGCAAAAAACAGTGAGAACCGTAAAATGTAATACACACACAGCCACACACACGTTTGAACTTGTTTCCTCTGGGCTTTGGAACATTCTCTGTTTTCTAAATTCTGAAGGGCTAAATAATTCTGTTTTTGCAAAAGTAGTTTGCAAATGCTTCTATGGAACGTTGTATAGATACACTAACCTAGTGAGGCAGACGTTAAATAGTACTTATTTTATAAATGAGGAAATCAAGGCTTAGAAAGAGCTGCTACAGTCACATAGCTAATGGCACAGCACTGATTAGAACCTGATTCTGCCGATTCCTAATTTAGCACTTTCCCTTCGATTCCCCTCATGTGATATAAAAGAAAACCGCCTTGTGTAGAGCTGACCTTAATATATTTGTGATATTTGATTTTCCACCATTACATTGTTACCTGGCTACTGAATCCTCATTTTTTTCCACTCAAGAATATGTGTTTCTATTTCCTGCCTGCAGTTTCCTCCACGCAGTGACCTACCTTCTCACACTTACCTGAGCTGAAAGGAAAGTTTCAATGTACGGCTTTAAAGTTTGGCTAACAGTTGATTAGAAGGACTGCCAAGGTGTGATCTTAGGGAATAAAAGTTTTGTGAAGAGCCTAGTTAAACAAAGAGCGTGGTGGCAGACTGAAATGAACATTGGCCTTATTAATAAATAAAACAGGGCTTCAGAAGCATTAATTTATCATAAATTATTAATAAAATAAGTGCAAATAATTCTCCTCTGCTCAAGGATTTGTTAAAGACACGGCTTACCTTCTCTGCATTGGCCTCAGGTTTCCGCCTAGGATCTGGGTTGCTCCATTCCCAGCGCCTTGCTAGATTTCTCTTGTTAAAGGGCACCAGGTAGAGGTGATATGGAACAAGACATAATACTTTTGAATTGTTACACCTTTGTCCTCACCTTTGTACTACTTAAGATCTAACCCACTAAGCTGCCCCGCACCTGTGGGAATTCGCTCTACATTCTCTTCTGCATTCTTCTTTCTGGTAGCTGATACGGACTACTCACTTTCAGACTTTTAATGGCCGTTCCTGATGTGTCTCTCTGTTCATCTTTCCCAGGGCCTCCAGATGTGGATCAGCCCTGTGAGCCGAGCTTACAGGCCTGGAGTCCCGAGCTCCACCTGTACCATATGAACATGACGGTCCCCTGCCCTTCGGAAGGTTGTAGCCTGGAGCTGCTCTTCCGGCACCCAGTCCAAGCCGACACCCTCACCCTGTGGGTCACCTACCTCTCCATGGACTCCTCCCAGGCACTCTTTGATACGGAGATCTTGGTGGAACACCAGGAGTCTGTGCATCTGGGCCCCTTAGACACTTTCTGTGACACCCCCCTCACTATCAAACTGCACGTTGATGGGAAGGTCTTGGGGGTGAAAGTCTACACCTTTGATGAGCGGATGGAGATTGACGCAGCTCTCCTGACTTCTCAGCCCCACAGTCCCTTGTGTTCTGGCTGCAGGCCTGTGAGCTACCAAGTTCTCCGGGAGCCCCCATTTGCCAGTGGCTTGCCCATGGTGGTGACACATCCTCACAGGAAGTTCACGGACGTGTGAGTTGGGCAGTAGCGCTTTCTAGACCGTGGGGTGTCCTGGGGCTTTGGGAGTGAGTTTTGTTTCCTTTTTTCCCCACCTGTTTACATCCTAACATGCTCTTAGTTGGAGAAATGTTTAGAATCTCAGAGGGGATTTTATTTTAGAGTGGCGTGTCTGAGATGAAGAAAAATATTTCCCAGTAAGGGGCGAGAAGGTGTTCTGACTGATGATTATGGAAAAAAGACGTTAGTTTATGAGGTGTTTCAGTTGGACTGAAAGTAATTGCCACAAATACGTTGATCAGAGTCACATACCCCTGTCTGGTGACACAGTTTAATTTCTGATTCCTTGCTGTAACTGTCAGATAATCTGCCACAGCTCCTATAACATTCAAAGGTTACAGTCAACTCTTCCATAGCTCAGCAAAGAAGCCTAGGGTCCTGCAGACACTACACTTGGTTTCATGACTCATTCATGATGTGTGTTTCATGCTTTCCTCTTTTTCTTGTTCCTTCCTCCCTCCCTCTCTCTTTCTTTCTCTTCCAACTCTCCTCTTTCTCTTTCTTCTGTCTACGTTTAGTGAGTTCTGCTGTGTTCTTGGCACTGTGTGCTCAGTGCTGGGGACACAGACTAGGATAAAATCATTGGCTTAAAAGAGTTCAGCGTCTAGGTAGGAGGCTGGTATCTTGAAAGGCAAATTCTCCCACCTCATAATTTTCCTCAGAGACTGCCCTGACGGTAGAACTTGGGGGAAAACAAAAGTTTTATTAGAGGTGCTACATCGGTTAGTTTTTGCTGCGTTAGAAATCATCACAAAATGTAGTGGATTAAAACAACCACTATTTCTCATGATTCTGTGAGTTGGCTGGGTGTTCTCATCTGGACTGGCCCTGGGGCTGGATGTCCCAGGACAACCTCACGCGCACGTTGGAGGCTCAGCTAAGGTGGCTGGCATGGCTGGGAAGACAAAGGCCTCTTTCCACACGATCCCTCATTCTCTAGTAGGCTTCTCCTGGGCTAGTTCTCATGGTGATGGCAGGGTCTCCAGCAGCAGGGAGGGCAAGCCCCCAAACACTCGCGCTTTTCAAACCTCTGCTTATGTTACTCATGATGACGTTCCACTAGCCAAAGCAAGTGACACAGCCGGTTCTAGATCCTAAGGGCGGCAAAATAGACTCCATCTCTTGATGAGAGGAACAGCAAAGTCACACCGCAGGGGGCATGCATCTGGGGTGGGAAGAATTCATGGCCATTCTGCAGTCTACCTCAGCTACAAAAAGTAGAGAAGAATGTTCATCTTAGCTTTACTACATTTTTCTCCCATATTTGCTCTCTGAATTAGAACTAGAAGACAGTGGAATGGTCAAAAAGCTCATGCAAATGGGAGGATAGATCATGGGATGGATTTAAAAAGAAAAAGAATATGATTTTTGAGCTTCTCTAATAAGCAGTTAAAATGACATTTATTATCTAACTTGATATCCACACATGCACTCACACACACACACACATATGTATACACACAACCTTTAAGGTCAATAATATCCCATTTTACAGGTGAGAAGACTAAGGCTTAGCTTAATTTGGTTCAACAGAGCTATTAAGTGGCAGACTGGGGATTAAAATCCAGTTTTCTGACTGAGTCTCATTTTGGTTCCCTTTCCTTAGTAACACACCACCTTTTACAAACTCAGATAGTTGAAGGTTAGGCACTACCTGCTGCTGAGTTTTCCCCCCAAGAATCACAAATCCATCCTAATGCTTGCTTCCAGTGCTTTCCCGGCCATAGAACAGTGTAAGGCTTTTATGATGGCGGGATGAGGAGTCCAGCAGAGACCACCCTGTAAAAGGGAAGCCATCAGAATTGATCAGGATATAAAATTGGTTTTGCTTTTGAAATATCTGGCACTCTCATGAGAGGACTGCTTCCCTAAGGAAAGCTAATTTAGAAATTTAAAAGTCTTTAATATTTAGGTATCTTTCCTATTAAAATAACTAAAAGCCAGTACAAAGGTTTTTACAGGTGTTTTGGAAAGCCCACATTACCTGTTTGTTGGTTGCAGCATCAAGACAGAAAGCGAAGGCTTTGTGGTTGAGCTGAAGAGGCTGTTGAGGAAGAGAGGGTCTTGGCAGGAGCTTTGTGGTAGTCACTCGTGGCAGTCCCAACAACCCTTTGAGATCCTGTCCTCCTAATCACTCCCATCCTACTTGACTTCGGTGGTAGTTTCCCAATTAGGGCAGGCACTGGACAAAATTGAGATGAGGGGGGAGTTTGTCTTTGGAACCAGCATCCCCCTTTGTGAGCTGTTCCCCGCTTCTGAATGTTCTGTCTCTCATGTTCTCCACCTGATCAGTGCACTGGGCTCTAGAGAGAATCTGATAAACTCCCTCCATCTCTGGTGTCAACTGATAAATCTCCATTCCTGGTCTGTATGCATTTTGGTGGGTTTGGAGGTGAGGAGTAATTTAACACATTTCTAATTGTGGAATTTCTTGCCTCCCCAGAATGATGATGGAATGTGTTCTTACCTCCTTCTAGGAGAGAGTTGCTCTTCCCCCTAAGAATACAGTCTCCTTAAGACAAGAATTCTCTTGAGAGACAAGAAAACCATGATCATAGACCCAAGAAAGGCCTTGCTGAGCCCAAATCATGAAGCTTTCCTCTTCAGTTTCGTTGGTTACTTTGAAGATACAGAACACTAGTTTTCCAATAGTTTTTATAATTTTGTTAAATGGTAAAGATGCACTTGAAATGCCATCCTCCTATATTGTGTAGGACTTTTAGTTAATTCAGCAGGCAGTTATTGTACATTCACTATGTGGAACATCCTGGGAATACAGAAATGAATATGGTTTCAAATGTTCTGCTGCTCTGTAAGACTGTGTGCCCTGATCTTTGTTTCAGATAATGTGGCATATGTTTAACATTCATCTGCAAAGGACCCAGGGTGTGTCTCACTTTCTGGATGTAGTGATCACAGCGCATTGGTTTCCACAGGGAGGTCACACCTGGGCAGATGTATCGGTACCAAGTTCAAGCTGAGGCGGGAGCAGAACTGGGAGAAGCTTCGCCTCCTCTGAGCCACGTCCACGGAGCCCCTTACTGTGGAGATGGGAAGGTAGCAAGGTGAGTATTGTGCGCATGGGAATGTGCGAGCAAGGACACCCTGTCCTGCTGTGACCAGGAGAGTCAGCCTTGAGCTTGTTTGACTTGTTTCGGAAATGTAGGCGGCAGGGTACTGTGTGATTCTAGTGTTAAACAAAATTTAGGACCTGGAAGTGATGATCTTGAAGGTCACCATAGTTAAGGAGGGGCCCACCTTTATTTAGAGCTCACCCCAGTGCACTGAGATATTGGGGCTGATTCTTTGGGGTCCTTCTTAAGGTTTCAGAGAACATCTGTTGGGCAGTGAATCAGGGAAGGAATTCACCGGGGGGAAAGGTTACGTGTCAAATGATGCTAAAAGAGTGTGTGAGGATATCTTTTGGATCAGTGGCCTGTCCTATACTACTAACAAGCTGTGTAACCTGAGGGAAGTCAGTGTAGATTCTGAGCTTCAGTTGCTCATTTGGCCCCTGGAAGACCTGGTTGCAGTGTAATTTCCAGCTATTCTGTAAAATAACCAAGGTAAAGATGGAATCAGTCCTTTGGTTTCTTAACATGCCATGTTCCTTTCCCTGTTTCCCTTTCGTGATATCAATCTAGGGGACTAATTCATTCTAATTTGCCTGGAACTTTCCAAAATTTAGCACTGAAAATTCCCATGCCCCAGTTTGTCACCCTATATCAGCCTATCCTGAATGCTCATCTAACCTAATATGTTACTTACATAAAGCTACTTACATAAAGCTGCTGAGAGTAGGAGGCTGGAAGGCCAGGCACTGTGATTTGTCTCAGATTCTGCATTCTAATAAGATGGCCTATTTTTAATTTCCCAGACCAAGTGAAAATATATTACATCTTGAAGACCTAATAGGAAGCAATTCTGTAGCCTTTCTTGGTATCCCATCGCATTGCTTAGTAATCACTAAATATTGTTTATCTTCTCAATCTTCTGAGATCCTTAAGCTTTAGTGTAAGCCTATTCCTTTTCATGGAAGTATAAACACCAAATGTTTGCAGACCTCAGTAATAGATGAGGTGACTGAGGTCACTTTAATACCCAAACTTTGCTAGTTTGCTGCCACCTTCTGCCTCACTCAGTCTCAGCTTCCGCCTCCCTCCACCTTCCACTCCCTCCACCATCTCAATCAGATTTCTCCCTGGGGATGCCTCACATGTGCACGGAACAGGTCTGGCTGTTGTTGGTGTTGTTTTCCCTGTTCTGGCTGCCTCACTGTAAGTCTGCTGCCCACCAGTTAAGGTGTTTGTGGGGCTTGGTTACCGCTGCTGCCCAGGCAGATCCCTCCTCGAAAAAAACACTGCCCTGTGGCGTAGAGTCTTGTACAGCACTTCTCTGGTGGTGGCCTCCCTGAGGTCCCAGGATGCCACATCTGCGGGGGATCTGGAACAGAAAGGAGTGAAGGGCCCTCCTCCTAACCTGGTATTGCAAATTCTCTACTGTGTCTTGAAACAGCTTTGCCTCAAGCAGACCTGCTTGGCTGCTGGGTCTCACGAGGTTCCTTATCAAAATGTTCTTTTAAACGTCTACCTGTAAAGTTTTTTGTATGTGTGAGGAAGATCAGCCCTGAGCTAACATCCATGCCTTCCTCCTCTTTTTGCTGAGGAAGACTGGCCCTGAGCTAACATCCGTGCGATCTGCCTCCACGTTATGTGGGATGCTGCCACAGCGTGGCCTGACAAGTGGTGCGTCGGTGCGCGCCCGGGATCTGAACCCGGGCCGCCAGCAGCGGAGCGTGCGCACTTAACCGCTAGGCCATGGGGCCGGCCCCTCTACCTGTAAACTTCTACCCTTTCTGTAGAGTCACACTTAGTTGTGCCATCCAGTGGGAAGATATCTCTGAATTCAGGCTTTGTCTCACCTCGAGGCAATCCATTACACAAAACGAGAAGGAGCCATATAAATAATTTAACCCACTGTTTAATATTCAAGAAATGTATAGACTCATTCTAGGGGGGAAATTATCACGGATCCCCAAGAAGTTATCCTCAGACCCTGGTTTTAACAGATTTTTACTAAAAGCTAAAAGTTGTCACTTTGGATATCACTTGTCAATAAGACCATCAAAACAGAAACAAGAGAAGGCCCTGGAATTGTGAGCAGTGTTCATTTAGAAGCTGATCATCTCGATCCGTGCTGTCCAGTATGGGAGCCACCAGCCACATGTGGCTGTGCAGCCTTTGAAATGTGGCAAGTGCAACTAGGAAACTGAATTTTATTTAATTGTAAATAATTTAAATTTAATTTAAAAACTGAAACTTGATTCAGTTATCAGAAAACCTTTAAGTGTATTTGGAAGAACTTGGGTGGGTGAATCTGCTTTTTCAACTATTGGTTTTATGAAATCTACACACAGATCAAATATTTGAATTGAGTTGTGTTGTAAGTGAAAAATACACATCGTATTTCAAAGACAGTGTGCAAAAAAAGAATGTAACATACCGCATTAATAATTTTTTATGCAGATTACATATTGAAATGATACTTTAGATATATAGGGTTATTGAAATGTGTTATTAAAACTAATTTCACCTGTTTCTTTTTACTTTTTTAATGTGACTACTAGAAAATTAAAAATCATATATGCGGCTCTCATTATATTTCTGTTGGGCAGCAGTACATAAGATGATACACAATTTGCTTACTTTAATTGTTTAGATTATGTTCAAAATGAAAATGCAAAATTGCCTACCTCCAAAATTATATTCTGGACCCCATTTAGAAAAACGCTGATGTTGGTTAACCCTCTCTTTCCATAGGTAAGCAAACTGAGGTCTACAGGGTTTAGAGAATTCCTGGGTATCGCACATCAGATTAGGTCACCAGCACAGTCTTTTTTTAATGGACCACATTGGCTTTATATAGGAAAAGACTTTGAAATTTCCTTAATTTCTTCAATTATGTTGTTTTTTATATCTCTTTTATCTTTTCTCCATTTACAGCTTACCATTTAAAATATGATTATTGTATAATTGCATTTATAGCATACTTTTAATTCATTTTAAAGCATTCTCATATCTAATTATTTAATCTGTACTCCATCCCTGTGAGAAGGTATACATTAAACAACAGTTAGAGCTATTAGCAATGTCCTGGGTCTGAAAACACTTTAGCATTACAAAACCTTTTATCTGCTGTGTTAAAATATGTGTTCATTTTGGACATGGTGAAAAGTCAAGGAGAATAAAATGGTAATCCTCAATCCATTTTACAATAGCCAAATCTGGGTTCCTTCAAAGAAGCTTCAACCCAAGTTTATCTATTTTGTTCCTATAACATGCTTCATATACACCTCACTCTAAACTAACTCCTCCATCTCAGTCCAAATTTAGTCATCAGCTGTATCAACGTTTGAGGTTGGAAACAAAAACGACATTTTTCTTACTCTGGCATGTTTCTTTCCTGCAATATATGCTAGCTGCCACTAGGTGGTAGTAGGGAGTAAGGACAGGGACCCGAGCCCTAGAGATTCCCTGGACTGAGAGATGGAAGCCATCAGCTGCAGAGTCTTTTGGTACATAAACAGGAAATTTCAATTCTACAAAATTCTAACTTTAACAACAACTCCATCCCAATAAAACAAAACAATGAAAACATAAAGAAATATCAGATAAAATGGATAGAAAACAAAATCACATATAGACAGGCCAGTTTCCTCCTCACCAAATCAGCTAACTATTCTAAGATTAGAAATTCATTATAGGGCTGGTAGGCCTTTTCTAGCTTAAGACCATCTGCCAGAAATATTGTCAGGACCCTCATGCATCTCCTCAATGTTTCTGAGTCGTGAGCTACTTGACTTTTAGAAATTCCCAAACCCACTGGACATGCCAATAACAATCGTTGCTTAAATTGTATTATCTTTAAATGTCTATTTGATTTTTTTTTCTGTAAAAGCATTCTCTTAGCTCCTATTTTTCTCCAGCTTGCACTTTTTAATACAGAATAAGGAATTTAAAGAATTTAAATGATGGTTACTAAACAAGAAAAACCATTTTATGTAGGCATGTATTTATATTATGTATATAAGTATGTACATTTTTACCTTCTAGGAGCCTGGGAGAAGAGTGTGATGATGGAGACCTTTTGAATGGAGATGGCTGCTCAAGAGCATGTGAACTAGAGGAAGGCTTCAACTGTGTAGGTGAGTTTAGGAGCACCTGCCTAGGCTTTTGTCCTATTTTTGGAGCTGTCTCTGTGTCTCTTGAGAGCTCTTGCTGTCCCGTAACATATAGCTTAGTGATGATAATAATAATAACATTTGATGTGTCTATTGTGTGCCAGGCATTGTCTAATTGTTTCACGTATATTATCTCATTTAATCCCTGCAGTAAGTATGAGAAGACTAAACTTGGGCACAGAGAGCTTAGATAACTTGCTGCCTCTTGTACAGCTAGAAGTGGTCAAGTCAAGATTTGAACCAGGAAAGTGTGGCTCTGGAATCTACGTGTAAAACCACTAGGTTATACTGCCTCCTAGATTAATGTTACCAAGAATTGCTCTTGGGTCTTCATGTCTAACATCAAAATGTCAGCTAAGTAGCACAATCATATAGATTCTATATAAAAATTAGGGCAAGAGAACATCCTAAGCCAAAGGGAGTGCAAGATATCTCTTGGTGGTTATGTTTAGTACACAAAATCATGAAGGATGACAGAGGGTCATAACATTTCTTAATCCTGGAGAATCACTAGTGATAAATTATAATGAGGTGGCTTTGACTCTAGACTCTTGCCACTCAGGGAGGGCATACAGAACTTCTCCCCATTCTGATTAAGGCCATCATCAACAGGCTTCTTAGATGCAGATTGTTTTCCCATTCCCATATGCATACATTGCAATGATTCTATGGAATATAATCACTCATCAAAGTTATTTTAGACAGCAGCACATTTAAAAATATTTTAATGTCTCTAAATCTCAAGATAAAGTAGGATATGCTTATAATTATATAGAATTTATTAAAATGTTAACAAATGCCCCTGTTCTCTGAAGTATAATCATAAAATCATAGAATCTTAGTAGTCTTCTATCCATCCATCCATCCATCTAACAAAAAATATTCGGTGCCCCCTATGGACCATGAGTCAAATAGATGTCCTGATCCCTTCATGCATAAAGTCTAGCAGTGACTTAGAGTCCAGCTTCCTTCCCTTATAGAAATCTCTTCTACCAATTCTTGAGAGATGGGCTTTTAGCTTCTGCTTACATACTTCTAGTGGTGAAGAATGCACCTTGAAACAGACTGTTCTGTTTAAAAATGGCTTTGTCTGTTTATCTTCTCCCCTCTTTTGGTTTGGAAACTGAGGTTCAGAGCATTTTAGTGACTCATCCACAGGCATACAACAAGGCCTCTGCAGAGCCAGCACTGGAACTCAGCTTTCCTAATGCTTCGTCAGCTGCTTTTTCCTTGCTGTGAAACTACAGAGGATACATTTTTTTGCTGTTTTATTTGACTACCATTCAGATATTTGAAATACCTCCCCATTATTCTCCTTTCCAATCCAAACATCCCCTCATGTGATTAGGTTTCCAGACCCTTTCCTATTTACCCTAACCTGGCATGCTTCTTGTGGTTGGTGCCCAGAAAGGAATTCAATACTCCAGATGTGGTCTGGCTGTGCAGATTACACTGAACTGATTACCTCCCCTCTTCTGTACACAAGTATTTGTTAATGCCACCTATGTTTGCATCATTTCTTTTTGCTAGCACATAGTGGTACCTACTGAATACACACACACATGCACACACATAGACATATCTTCTCCAAACACTGTCCCTTCTCCCGTGCAGCTCCAGAATCATTTAACTTAAGAGCAGATCTTACTTTGTTTCTATTACATTTGATCCCATTAAATTTGGCTCATATTTCCTTAGCCTCCAATTCCAGTAAGACTATATCTAAATTATTTTAACTTTACAGAGCAAAGTTAAAATGGTCTATTACACAGTTAAACATCTGTTTCAGTGAGTAATAAGTTTATAGTATGCTAAGCATATAGATCTATTCCATTATTTCTCAAAAGATTAGGTTTGAAGGAACTGTTGTGAAGTGTATTTTAAAAGTGGACTGTTATTTTTCTATGGATTTGAAAAAACAGGCAAAAAATTCAAGTCCATGGTAAAAAAAAAAATAGAGAAGAAGCAAGAAGAAACAGTTACTGGGTTATAAATAGAAAAACAAAACATATACATAAATATTTGTTATAAACAATATATAAATTATAAAATATATATTATAAAATGCACACATATATTCATATGTACATAGATGGATATATACATATAAAATACACAAATAAAATATACATATATGTACACATGTATACATATATGTATATAATCGTATGTGTGTTTGAGAGAGAGGAATCATCACGGGAAAGTCATTCCAAATACACATATGTTGGCTTTGGGGGAGTGATTTGGGAAGGCCATGGGTTTGATGGAATGCAGGAGTTTAAAACCCAAAATAGGCTTAGAACCAAGTCCTGGGAACAGTGGCTTATTCCTGGCAAGTAGAGATAGATTTACCACAGAAGGGTCTCAGACTTGAAGAAATTATTAAGGAAAATAATCAGTAACTACATGTTGATGAGCAGCTGAAAAATTCGTGGGACAGTCCTGTGGGATTGCTGTGAAGAATAAACAGTAAAAAGAATGGTGTAATAACAGTAAATTTTAGTAATGATGTTACTGTATGTGTACTTGTGTTGATTTATTTTAAATCTTGATCTTATTTTCATGTCCTGTTATTTTAAGCAGAAATAGGAAATTAGAATCATGCTACTAATATTAATTGTCCCACATTTTGGTAGATGATGCAATAGCACTTAATAAATGGCTTTATAACTGCGTGTCAGCTTTCTATATCTGAAGAAAGCTAGTTTACGTGTCTATAGTTAGTATTATTCACTTGGTAGGAGTTATCCTATGGGCGGGTATGGAACTTGTCCGGAGAATAGAAGCTTGCTATGCAACCCCACCAGTTTTTCTTACATGTTCGTTTCTCACTTGTTTGCTCTTGAAGACAGTCTCTCTCTCTCAGCTCGAGGCAGTGTGGGTGATAGAGCCCACAGAACCTGCCTTCTGGAAGCCTGGCCCAAATCCAAGCTCTATTGCTTATGGGACTCTTGACAGGTCACTTAAAATCACTGAAACTCAGGTTTCCTATTTATGAAACAAACAAAAAATGCATGCCTGATATAGTCGTCGTAAGACTAAAAGAAATAATATGTATGTAACCCTTATGAACGTGGAGCCCATACTGTCCATTTCAGAGCAGTTGCACAGTTAGTTGAAGAAACACAGTTCAGCAGCAAAAAGTAATTGAAAACAAATCCCTCAAATATCTTAATATTTCAACAACTATGAAGGGGATCCAAGTACATAACACATCATACCGTTTATTTAAATTCCCTGTCTTCTTTTACCTACTTCTTTTATATCCCCAGCTTCCCCTAAGTATCTTGCCCAACGATTCCTTAAAATTTCTTTCTACATCCAGCCCCCAGCTGCTTGTTTCTCCCTCTTCCTTCTCCCCTAATACCACCCCTTTCTATACTTTTTATTATATAGATGGATTCTACTACTCTCCCCATGAAAAAGATCCTCCTCCTTTAGGGTGTGCGTGTGTGTGTCTGTTTTGTCTGCATGTTTGGGGTGTGCATTAGCCTGGCTGGCAATTACAGGATTCTCTGTAGTGAGATGGAGAAAAAATGTAATTATTTTTACATGACATATATAAAACACTTTTGAAATGTCATACAATATTTCTTGGCAGGGGAGCCAAGCCTGTGCTACATATATGAGGGAGATGGAATATGTGAGCCTTTTGAGAAGGAAACCAGCATCATAGACTGTGGCCTCTATACTCCCAGAGGATACCTGGATCAGTGGGCTACCCAGGCTTACTCCTCTCATGAAGACAAGAAGTGTCCTGTTTCCTTGGTAACTGGAGAGCCCCATTCCATGGTAAATTAATAGAGTCTAGGCTGAGCAAAATTGTGAAGTGACTACCCCAGGTGCTTAATGATAGCGTACATTTTTTTCTTGACTTTGGCATCAAATTTAGTCCTTACTGACCTCAGAAGAAGATAATGTTAAATGAAAAGCTTCTAGATCAGCAATTAAATCTCATCCCTACCCTCATCCTGCTTACCCTCACTAGTTTTCATCTGGGAACCTTTGGCGATGCAATAGCTGACTCCAAGGTATACAAAAGCATCTCAAAATTAACCTTATCAATACACATATCAGAAGTTACATTTGGGCTTTGTATTTGGGAGAATTTATTTTAAAAGAAGCAGCAGCAGCAGTAAAGAGTCACAATGACTGGATTACACTACTGGATCCACCAGTATTACTATTATTATTACTGAATGAGGTTTGACAAGTCACTTCACCTCTCTGGGTCCCAATTTTCTCATATACAAAATGAGTATAGTAATACCTTTTGTATTTGGCTCAATGGTTTATTAGAAGGATCAAGTGAAATTTAAAATATATGTTAAAGATAAAAGTGTACTTTGATTTAAAGAATTCTTGTTATTGAAGAATTTCTAGAGTTAGTACTAAAAGCAAATCCTTAAATATACAATTTTCCATGAATATCAACCTAAATAAATAGGAGATCCTCTGAGGACTGACTTCTATGAATTATAGTTGAATACTGAAAAGAAGTAAAGGGCTTTGGCTGTGGGGTACTATTCCAGATGCTTTCTTTGCCAAGTAAACTCTTCCATTCATCACAGCAATAAGCAATACTGTCCTTTCAACAGAAGTGAGTCTAGCTCTATAGGTATTTCAGGCCAGGATGAAGTCATTGGATTTTAGATGTGCAGAGCCATCTCCGGGAGATCGAGGAACCAGCCAAGGTTGGTGCTCCGGTTCAAGAAACTCATCGAGGACCCAGGTGTCTTCTAGATTCCAGCTCCTTCCATCCTTGGCCTGCAGCTTTCTCCCTCCTGCTCATAAGATGACTGCTGCTCCTCAATGCATGAAATCAGCATCTCAGACAGGAAGGAGGGAGAAAGGGGACTAGGTACATGCTAGTTGAATCTTTCCCTTTTATTGGGAAAATGACAGCTTTCTGGAAGTTCAACACTATAGACTTCCACCAGCATCTCACTGGTCAGACCCAGATCTCTTCATCACCCTTAGTTGTAAGAGACCCTAAGGAGATGAGCATTTATAATTGGATACGCTGTCACCTTGAACAAAATTGGAGTTTGTTCATAAGAAATTAAGGGGAGGGCCGGCCCCGTGGCTTAGCGGTTAGGTGCTCGCACTCCGCTGCTGGCGACCCGGGTTCGGATCCCGGGCGCGCACCAACACACCGCTTCTCTGGCCATGCTGAGGCCGCGTCCCACATACAGCAACTAGAATGATGTGCAGCTATGACATACAACTATCTACTGGGGCTTTGGGGGAAAAAATAAATAAATAAAATTATAAAAAAAAAAAAAAAAAAAAAAAGAAATTAAGGGGAAATGGATATGGGTAGGCAACTAGCCATGCCTGCCCCACTCCTTCAGCTAATTTTGGCATCTCTCTCAAGAGTTCTGTTGCCCAGTGACAGGAAGCCAGGAAAGTTGGGAGATGCTGAGTTAGTGACAGCTCTCTGAAGTGGCTTTTAGTCTAGCCTGTCTGTCCCTAAGTGAAGTGGGAGACATTTCCTGGAGTTTTTCTTCCCTGGCTCCTTTACCAAGCTGAGTGCTCAGTGGTTCCCTGACTCAGTAGCCTCACTCCTGGGGCCAGTGGATCCTGCCTGGTGAGGATCTAACCATCATCCTGGGCAGACCTCCGTGACTAATCCTAGAAGCAGTTGCCTGAACTGTGCCAGGACTGTTCTTTGGGCAAGATCCCTGGGTTGATTGTGGGCTGAGAATTGTCATGTGTGTTTTTCTACCCTATAAGTTGTATCTTGAGGCTAACAGAGAACATTGAGACATTCTCCTACACTGAGAAAAGTTTTCTGCTAATAATGTGATCATTAGGCGCTCAGAAAGAGAGGAAAACTGTGGTTTTGAGCTGGAGCATTTCATTGTCATTACTTATATCTCACCCTCCACATTTAATTTTTGGTTGAAATTGTATTTCAGATTTGCACGTCATACCATCCAGATTTAGCAGAGCACCGTCCCCTGACTGGCTGGTTTCCCTGTGTCACCCGTGGAAATAGACCTCAGGATGAAGGGAGTGAGTGGCCAGAAGGTAGCCTGGAGAGAGAGGATGAGGTTTGGCTCAAAGTAAGTGGCCCAAATGTTTTTTTTGTGAAGGCTGCCGATAGATGGTGCTTGTGTCTATATACATGTGTATGTACATGTGTGAGTATATGTGTTTGTGCATGTGTGTGTAAATGCATTGGAAAGGCTTATCAGGAAATTTCCTTTTGTTATCTCAGAGTTGTTTTTTTTTTTATTGTGAAATTTTTGTTGTACATTATTGTTTATCAGTCACCATATAAGTGCATCCCTCCACCCCTTGTGCCCACCCCCCACCCCTCTAGCCCCTGGTAACCACCAAACAGTTCTATCTGTCCGTGTGTTGGTTTATCTCCCACATATGAGTGAAATCATGCACTGTTTGTCTTTCCTTTTCTGGCTTACTTCACTTAACATAATACCCTCCAGCTCCATCCATGTTGTTGCAAATGGGACGATTTTGTCTTTTTTTATGGCTGAGTAGTATTCCATGATATATATATACCACATCTTCTTTATCCAATCATCAGTCGAGGGACACTTGGGTTGCTTCCGTGTCTTGGCTATAGTGAATAACGCTGTGATGAACATAGGGGTGCATAAGCCTCTTTGGATTGTTGATTTCAGGTTCATTGGGTAGATACCCAGTAGTGGGATAGCTGAATCACAAGGTATTTCTATTTTTAATTTTTTGAGGAATCTCCATACTTTTTTCCATAGAGGCTGTACCAGTTTGCATTCCCACCAGCAGTGGATTAGGGTTCTGATTTCTCCACAGCCTCTCCAGCATTTGTTGCTTTTTGTCTTGGTGATTACAGCCATTCTGACGGGTGTAAGATAATATCTTAGTGTGGTTTTGGTTTGCATTTCCCTGATGATTAGTGATGTTGAGCATCTTTTCATGTGCCTGTTGGCCGTCTGTATATCTTCTTTGGAGAAGTGTCTGTTCATTTCCTCTGCCCATTTTTTGATTGGGTTGTTTGTTTTTATATTTTATATTTTGAATTTATTTTCCCCTCTTTTTGAAATTTGGACTTCTTTCTTTACAAGTAATCAGTTTATCAAAGTGTAACATATGCACAAGAAAGTGCAAAAGTCGGAAATGCACAGATTGATGAATTTTTACAAAATGAACATCCTCTCTGACCACCACAGAGATCAGGAAACGGAGCATTAACAGCATCTCCACAGGCTCTCTCATTCCTCAGTTATTATACCACAGAGGGGTTTACTGCTTTTACTTCTATCACCGTAGATTAGTTTTGCCTGTTTTTGAACTTTATGTGAAAAACTTGACAGTACGTACTTTTTATGTTTGATTCTTTCTTACTCAGCATTCTGTTTGTGGGATTCATCCACACTGCTTCACTCAGCAGTAGCGTTCATTTTCATTGCTATTTAGCATTCCAGTGCATGAATACAGAACAATTTATTTATCCATATTGAGGAATGTTTGGTTTATTTCCAGTTTTTCTCCATTATGATATTACAGATAGTTCTGCTTTACACATTTCTGTACATTTCTTTTGGCAAATGTGTAACAGTTGGGTATATTCGGAACTGCTAGATCATAGGTAGGCAGATGACCAGCTTTACTAGATAATCCCAAATAATTTTCCACAGTGGTTGTACTAATTTATACTCTCACCAAAGGCTTAAGAGTATTCCAGTTGCTTCACGTTTTCACTGACACTTGGTATTTTAAGTCTTAATTTTAGCCATTCTGTTGGATATGAAAGGTATCCCCCTGTGGTTTCAATTTGCATTTACATGTTGACTAATGAGATTGGGAGACTTTATATGTACATTGCCCATTGGCATATCCTTTTTTTTTTTTTTCCTGTTAGGGTGTGTTAAAGTCTTTTGCCCAGTTTTCTATTGGCTTGTATGTCGTTTTCTTCTTAATTTATATGATTTCTTTACAATTTTCTGAATATAAATCCTTTTTCATATTTTCCAACACTCTGTGGCTTATTTTTTCTTGCATTTAACGATATCTTTAGACAAACAGAAGTTCTAAATTTTACAAAAGTCCAACTTATCCTTCTTTTCCTTTATGGTTAGTGCTTTTAGTGTACTGTATTAAGAAACTTTGCCTACCACAAATATATACTTTCCTATGTTATCTTTTAGAAGTTTCATTGTTTTACCTTTCATATGTAGGTCTAAAATCCACTGGAAGTTTTGTGTATTGTGTGAGGTAAAGATCAAGGTATTTTTCCCCTTTGAATTTGCAATAGATCTAGAACAACTGTTACTCAAACTAAAATTTTATTTTCCCTGGTGTGCTGCACTGTGTCACCTTTGTCATAAATCAACTGGCAATATATATGTGGAGGTCTGTTTATTGATTCTATATTTTATTCTACTGGTTTATATATTCTTGCACCAATATTACACTCTTAACTTACTGTACATTTTCGATGAGTCTTAAAATTCTATAAGGTAAGTTCTAAAATTTTCTTCCTTTTTTTCCAGGTTGTATTGGCTATTCTTGGTCCTTTGAATTTCCATATAAATTTTGGAATCAGCCTCAATTTCCACACATGGAAAAAAAAGTCCGCTGCTATCTTGATTGGGATTTCATTGACTTCATAAGCCAATTTGGGGAGAGTTTTCTCTTTAAAATACTGTGTCTTCTAATCTATTCTTTTAGTTACTTAAGTCTTCTTTAATTTCTCTTAACATTTTATAGTTTTCTGAGAAAAGGGAGTTGAATTTTATCAAATGCTTTTCTGCGTCTCTTGAGATGATCATATTATTTTCTCTTTTGTTCTGTCAGTGTCTTACACTGACAAACTTGATTACTTACATTGATAAACTTGTAAATATGAACCAACCTTATATACTTGGAAAAAAAATAACAACTTGGAAATGATATATAGTTCTTTGTCAGTAGTTTTTGGATTCTATTTGTGAAAATTTTGTGATTTTTTTTTTTCATCTATGTTCATTAGAGCTTGGCTCCTAATTTTCTTTTATTTTATTGTCTTGTCGGGTTTTATGATGAAAGCTAGGATTGATTCCTAAAATAAGTTTCTTTTTCCACCAGTTCTCTTGATTATTTTGTGTAAGGTTGTTGTTAATTTTGGAGGTATTCACCAGTCAAATTTGAACCTGGAGTTTTCTTTGAGGAAAAAATTTAAATTATGTGTTAAAATTTTAAAACAAATATGGAATAATTTGGGTTTTCTATTTCTTCTTAGGTCAATTTTGCTAAGTTGAGTTTTTCAAGTAATTTGTCCATTTTTTCCTAAAACTTTAAATTTATGGACATTAAGTTTTTCATAATGTTCTCTTATTTTTTTGTAACGTTCCCACAATCCCTAGGACGTTTTTTCATTCATGCTTTTGTTAATTTTTGGCTTCTCTCTTATTTTTTTTGCTCAGTCTTGCTAAAGCTTTATCAATTTTATTAATATTTAATTAATCTTTTTATAGAACCAACCAAAGAATAAATACATATACACACACATACATATTTATATATGTATATATACATATATATCTGTATATATAAAAGGAATATATATGTAAAAACATAAAAGGAAGGAAATAATGAAAACAAGAGCCTACGTGTATGCTCTTATTTTTATTATTTCATTCATTATATGTTGCATTTAATTTGCTCTTTTTCTAGTAACTTGAGATGATGCTTAGACAATTTTTAGCTTCTCTTCTCTTTTTATGTATGCATTAAGGCCATAAGTTTCCTTTTTAGCAACATCCTACAAGTTTCACATGTCTTATTTTTGTTATCATTTAGTTCAAACATAATTCTCTAATTTTCATTTGATTTCTTCTTATGGCTCCAGAGTTATATATAAGTGTGCTGTGTAGCTTCCAAGCATTTGTGGGTTTTCTGGTTACCTTTTTGTTTTTGATTTATAGCTAGAGTCTTCTGTGGTCGAAGAGTATATTCTTTGTGGTTTTAATTCTTTGTAATTTGTTGAACCTTGAATTATGGACCAGCATATGGTCAATATTGGTAAATATTACACGTACTTTGAAAGTAATATGTAGTCTGAAATTGTTGGATGAAGCATTCTATATATTTAAGATAGATCAAGTTCATCAATCATGTTGTTGAAATTTCCTGTATTCTTCATGTATTGTATATATACATATTTTTTCCTGATATTTTGTACTGTTTCCATCTCCACATACTGGGAGATATGTGGTAGACTTTCCTACCGTAATCTTGGATTTGTCTGTTTCTCCTTTATCTTTGTCTGTTTTTGATTTATATGTTTTGAGGCTATATTATTAAATATGCAAGCGATTCTCACTTTGTATGGTAGCATGGGACCACAAAATGACCATGTAAGCTGAAACTATGCAAGGCAAACTTAATAATCAATGGGAAAAATTACAATTGTTATTTGACCTGTAAAAGTTTTCATCACAGTATTAAATATTCTCTTATTTTCAGTAATACATGTGAAGGGAAATGGAAAAAAAAGTAAAACTGATATTTATTTAGTTCACTATAATTTAAAACATTAGAAACATAGAAAATTAAAGTATTTCATCTCTTTGTAAAAAAAAAAAAAAAATCTTACCAAGAGTAGTTTGAACAGTGCTCTCCCTTTTTTATCATGTGACATATATTACAAAGCAAGCAGTTTTTCTATGCCTTCATGAATTGTCATATTCCATTCTAAGTTTGGATCAGCTTCCAACATTTTATCCTTTGCACTTTCAATATTATGAAATATCTCTTGAGAATTCTTTTAATGTGAATTTTTTTCTTGGCATCATTTCCTCTGGGACATCTTCACCCTTTTTGTCACAACTGCTGTCCTCATTTATGTTGATAATTCTGCTTGCACTATGTTTCTCTGGCCTGCATGTCTAGAGTCTCTCAAATGTTAACAGCATCAACATTCCTACAGTCAGCTATTTTTCTTCTATAATTTTTTTACCTTCAATTCAAGTTTTATCATTTTTTGTTTCTTTGCTGCACTCTCATCCTTATTGGCTGATTCCCCTTTTGATTATCTATGTCTGTAAAATGTCATGTGAATTTTTCACTGAGAGACAAAGAGGCGGCCCAACTACACACTTTTCTGTCTCTGCATGAACTGAATAACAGATACACAGTGACCGATCAATGACAGGACTTTGAAAGAAGTGATATAATTGGTCACTGATCATGATTCTCGTGGGTTATCTACATGGTGATTTGTGCATTGAAGGCCTATTAGTGAAGTTTGTACTTTCTGCTGTTACAATTAATATATTGTGCTAACCAAAATTTGAATCATATTGTTTGGACTCTGGTGTTATATAACTAAATTGTGATAACTGCTATTTTGTACATAAGGGAACTATGTAAAGTGAGGATGGCCACTTTATAATTTTAGGATTTCTATATCTTCTTGGTGGATTCGTTTTAAATCTACTGATATACTATTTGTCATTCACTTGTTCCATATGTTCTTTTTTTCTATTTTTTGTCCTTTTTTAGATTAAACAAATAGTTTTATTCTGTTTCCAATTCTATTAGTTTGTTAGTTATACTTTTATTTTATTCTGTAAGTGGTTACCCTAGAGATTGCAGCATGCATCCTTAACTGGCTAGAGTCTGCTATGAATTAGTACTCTCACAATTTCATGATCAATGAGTACCTTAGAATACTTTACCTCCATTTATTGCTTCCTGGCTTTTTAAAGTTAATATGATTTTAAATTACCTAATATTTACCATCTCCAGTGCTCTTCAGTCCTTTCTACATTCTGTGCTTCCCTCATTTTTATTTAGCTTAAAGAAGTCTGTTTATTGAGGGAGATGTCAGCATCTTGGCAGAGTGAGTTGTTCTCTTTGTCTCTCCCTTTTAAGTTACAACTAAGTGGACATTCATTAACCAGCAGAGGATTCCCTGCACAGCACAACAGGATGTCTGAGAGATCCACAGAGCTGTGCATTTGAGGGTGGGTGGACTGGATCCCTGGGAGGCAGTGGAACTAGGTGAGTGCACCACCCCCTTCCCCAGTGGCAGTGAGCCAGGTCACAGATCCTCACATAGTGGCCAGTGCCACTGTAAGAGGAGGCAGGGGCAGCCTGGCCTGTATGAATGCTTTTGGAGTTGTAGCCCTGCCCGCCGGAGAACCCACCATGCCACAGCAGCCACGCCGATGGGAACACTCTACACTGATTGGTGGTGGCTCAACTCCAGCGAAGGCACCCGCCTGCCAAGTGCAGTGCAGGCAAGAAGGTACCCCACAAACTCAGAAGGCACCCTGCCTGCAGAGCACAGCAGCCCTGATTGGCGGCTAAGCCCGTACATAGGCTCCCCTCCCGCCTAGTGCAGCAGGTCACCTGGTCCCCTGCTGAGTGCAGCGGCCCTGCCCACGTGAGATTGACCTGTCCGTGGAGCACAGAGGCCCTGCCTATGATGCCCAGCACAGAGGCACTGCCCACTTGAGTGAAACCTGCAGAGTGGCTGTGGCCAGCCCATGCAAATGCAGAACAGCCCTACCCGCACAACTTCCAGCAGATGGGGTGGGATCAGAAAACATGGCTCCTGCTCCCCCTCAGCAGTGGCAGGTGGAATCTGCAACCACATACTACCGCAAATACGCCGGCAAAGGATCAGGTCATCAAACACCATGAAGAACTAAAGTAACACTTCAGAGCAGAAGGAAAATGACAAGTCTCCAGAAACCAATCCTGAAATCACAGAAATTTACAATCTAAATGACAGAGAATTCAAAATAGTTGTCATAAAGAAACTCAATGAGTTACAAGAAAACTCAGAAAGATAGTTCAGTGAGCTAAGGAATAAAATTAATAAGCAGAAGAAATACTTCACCAGAGAGATTGAAACTCTAAGAAAAAAAATACCAAACAAATTCTGGATATGAAGAACACAGTTAATGAGATAAAAAAGTAATCTAGAAACTATAAAAAATAGAGCTGATGTTACGGAGGACAGAATTAGTGAATTAGAGGACAGAAATATAGAAATGCTTCAGGTAGATGAGAGAGAACTAGGATTTAAGAAAAATGAAGAAATTCTTTGAGAAATGTCTGACTTAATTAGGAAAAGCAATATAAGGATTATAGGTATTCCAGAAGAAGAAGAGGTGGGGGGGAAGGTGCTAAGAGCTTGTTCAAAGAAATAATAGCTGAGAACTTCCGAAACCTGGGGAAGGAACTGGACTTACAAGTACATGAAGCCAATAGAACTCCTATTTCATCAATGTAAAAAGACCTTCTCCAAGGCATATACTATTAAAACTGGCAGAAGTCAATGACAAAGAAAAAATATTAAGGGCAGCAAGGCAGAAGAAAATAACATACAAAGGAACCCTATCAGGCTTTCAGCAGATTTCTCAGCAGAAACCTTACAGGCTAGGAGAGAATGGAATGATATATTCAAAATACTGAAAGACAGTAACTTTGAGCTAAGAAAACTCTATCCAGTGGAACTATCCTTCAGATACGATGGAGAAATAAAAGCTTTCCCAGATAAACAAAAGCTAAGGGAGTTCATCATCACTAGACCTCCCTTGCAGGCAATGGTGAAGGAAGCCCTCCTACCTGTAACATAAGGCAAAGGTTTACAAAGCCCTGGGCAAGGAGATAACTAGACAGACAAAATCAGAAAATTGCAGCTCTCTATCAGCACAGGTTAACAAACACTTAATTATAATGTAAAAGATAAAGGGAAGGAAAGCATCAAATAGTTATAAACACTTCAAGTTAGTCACAAACTCACAACACAAAAAAGAATAATTTGTGACAATAACTCAAAAGAGGGAAAGGAAAGGGATGGAACCTGCTTAGGTTAATGGAGGTGAGAGGCTGTCAGAAAATGGACTGTCTCATCTACGAGATCTTTTGCACAAACCTCATGGTAACCACTAAACAAAAAATGAGAGCAGAGCCACAAATCATAAATAAAGAGAAAACTGATAAAAACATCACAGAAAAACCACCAAACTGAAATGGAAGTCAGAAATACAAGGGAAAAGAAACAATGGCAATATAGAACACTCAGAAAACAAGAGATAAAATAGCAGTATCAAGCCCTCATATATCAGTAATCACTCTAAATGTAAATGGATTGAATTCTCCAATCAAAAAACACAGAGTGGCTGGATGGATTAAAAAACAAAACCAAACAGTATGCTGCCTCCAGGAAACACATCTCAGCTCTAAAGACAAACATTGGCTCAGAGTGAAGGGATGGAAGACAATATTCCAAGCAAATGGCAAACAAAAGAAAGCAGGTGTTGCCATACTTATATCAGACAAAGCAGACTTCAAGATAAAAAAGACAATGAGAGACAAAGAAGGGCAGTATATAGTGATAAAAGGGACATTCCACCAAGAGGACATAGCACTTATGAATATATGTGCATGTAACACAGGAGTACCAAAGTATATAAAGCAACTACTAACAGACCTAAAGGGAGAAATTGACAGCAACTCAATAATAGTAGGGGTCCTCAACACACCGCTTACATCAATGGATAGATCATCCAGACAGAAAGTCAACAAGGAAACAGTGGCCTTAAATGAAACACTGACCAGATGGACTTAATAGATATATGTAGAACATTCCATCCCAAAACAGCAGAATACACATTCTTCTCAAATGTACATGGAACTTCTCAAAGATAGACCATATGTTGGGAAACAGGGCAAATATATGGAGATTAAACAACATGCTACTGAACAACCATTCAATGAAGAATGAAGATCAATGAAGAAATCAAAGGAGAAATCAAAAAATACCTGGAGACAAATGAAAATGAAAACATAACATACCAACTCTTAAGGGATGCAGCAAAAGCAGTCCTAAGAGGGAAATTTATAGCAATACAGGCCTACCTTAACAAACAAGAAAAATCTCACATAAATAATCTTAAACTACACATAACAGAACTAGAAAAAGAAGAACAAAGTCCAAAGTCAGCAGAAGGAGAGAAATAATAAAAATTAGAGCAGAAATAAATGAAATAGAAACTAGGAAAACATTAGAAAGGATCAATGAAACTAAGAGCTGGTTCTTTGAGAAAATAAACAAAATTAACAAACCCTTAGCCAGACTCACTAAGAAAAGAAGAGAGAAGGCACAAATAAAATAAAATTAAAAATGAAAGAGGAGAAATTACAACAGATACCACAAAGGATTATAAGAAAATACTAGGAAAAACTATATGCTAACAAATGGGGTAACCGAGAGGAAATGGATAAATTCTTAGACTCATACAACCTCCCCAAACTGAATCAAGAAGAAATAGAGAAATCTGAGTAGACCAGTCACAGGTAAGGAGATAGAAACAGTAATCAGACACCTCCCCAAAAACAAAAGTCCAGGACCAGATGGTTTCTCTGGAGAATTCTACCAAACATTAACAAGAGTTAATACCTAACCTTTTCAAACTATTCCGAAAAATTGAAGAAGACAGAATGCTTCCTAACTCATCCTATGAGGCCAATATTGGTCTGGTACCAAAACCAGGCAAGGACAACAAAGAAGGAAAATTGCAGGCCAATATCGCTGATGAACATAGATGCAAAAATCCTCAACAAAATATTGGCAAATCAAATACAGCAATACGTTAAAAGGATCATACACCATGACCAAGTGGGATTTATACCAGGAACGCAGGGATGGTTCAACAGCTGCAAATCAATGTGATACACCACATTAACAAAATGAGGAATAAAAATTGTATGATCATCTCAATACATGCAGAGAAAGCATTTGACAAGATCCAACATCCATTTATGATAAAAACTCTGAATAAAATGGGCATAGAAGGAAAGTACCTCAATGTGATAAAGGCCATGTATGACAAACCCACAGCCAACATCATACTTAATCGAGAAGAACTGAAAGCCATCCCTGTGAGAACAGGAACAAGACAAGGGTGCCCACTCTTGCTGCTCTTATTCAACGTAGTGCTAGAGATTTTGGCCAGAGCAGTTAGGCTAAAAGAAGAAATAAAAGGTATCCAAATTGGGAAGGAAGAAGTAAAACTCTCGCTGTTTGTGGAAGACATGATTCTATACGTAGAAAACACTGGAGAATCTGCCAGAAAACTGTTAGAAATAACCAACAACTACAGCAAAGTTGCAGGGTAGAAAGTCAACCTACAAAAGTCAGTTGCATTTCTATATACTAATAATGAACTAGCAGAACGAGAACTCAAGAATACAATCCCATTTAGAATCACAACAAAAAAAATAAAATATCTAAAAATAAATTTAACCAAGGAGGTGAAAGAGCTATACACTGAAAACTACAAGACATTATTGAGAGAAATTGAAGAAGACATGGAAGAAATTCCAAGAAATGGAAAGATATTGCATGCTCATGGATTGGAAGAATAAACATAGTTAAAATGTCCATATTAACTAAAGCAATCTACAGATTCAGTGCAATCCTAATGAGAATCCCAATGACATTCTTCATGGAAATAGAACAAAGAATCCTGAAATTTATATGAAACAACAAAAGACCCCAAATAGCCAAAGCAATCCTGAAAAAAAGGAACAAAGCTGGAGACATCACAATCCCTGACTTCGAAATATACTACAAAGCTGTAGTAACCAAAACAGCATGGTACTGGCAGAAAAACAGACACACGGATCAGTGGAACAGAATTGAAAGCCCAGAAATAAAACCACACATCTGTGGACAGCTAATCGACAAAGGAGCCAAGAACATACAATGGAGAAAGGAAAGTGTCTTCAATAAATGGTGCTGGGAAAACTGGACAGCTACATGCAAAAGAGATGAAAGTAGACCATTACCTTTTGTCATACACAAAAATTAACTCAAAATGGATTAAAGATTTGAATGTAAGACCTGAAACCATAAAACTCCTAGAAGAAAAAACACGCAATACAATCTTTGACATTGGTCTTAACAGCATCTTTTCAAATACCATGTCTACTCATGCAAGGGAAACGAAAGAAAACATGGGACTACATCAGACTAAAAAGCTTCTGGAAGTCAAAGGAAACCATAAACAAGACGAAAAGACAACCCACCAACAGGGGGAAAATATTTGCAAATAATATATCCAACAAGGGGTTAGTTTCCAAAATATATAAAGAACTTACCCAATTCACCAAAAAAAAACAACCTGATCAAAAAATGGATAGAGGATATGAATAGACATTTTTCCAAAGAAGATATACAGATGGCCTACAGGCACATGAAAAGATGTTCAGCATCACTAATTAT